TGTTTTAATAAAGGACGAGGGATTTGATACAGAAATTCGAAGGTGCATTGTGATAGCGAAAGATGCCTTCTAAAACCTAAGCAAAATATTAAGAAAATTCGTTTAGAAACAAAGAAAAGAGTGGTGTACAGTTATCTAATATCAGCCCTTTAGTAGTAAATTTTGGAAAATCACTTCACAGACGAAGAAGGATCTCGAAGCAACAGAAATCTGGTTCAACAAAAGAATATCATGTGAACAAAAACGAAGTTTTAGAGAAAATGGAAACAAAAAAGGCACTTATACTTAACACCCGAAAGATACAGTTGAATGTTCTACGGCACGTAACGAAGAAAGAGGGCTTAACAAATCTGTCCCTCAAGGGATATACTGAACGCATAAGAAAAGCATTGCATGTAAAAAGGGTCGCCAGAACAGGAAGCAGAAGAGATGGCAAAAAGACAAAAAAAAAACCCCAAAACAGGGAATTGTTGAGAGAAATCGTCCATGGCCTGAATATTTAATACACCTAGGTAATGAATAGAAGAAGAGACTCAATATGAGATGGGGTGGGGTTGGAATTTTAGAGGCAATAATCTAGACCAGTGGTTCTCAACCGGGGTCTACATGGACCCTAGGGGTCCATGTAATATTTCCGGGGGTCCACAGGCGAAACACAATTGTTGTGTTAATTAAAAATAGTAATAATAATAATTATTATAATTATAGTAGAATATTTTATTTGTATTAAATTAGTTTTCATTTAAAAATAAAGCTTAATCGTATACTATTTCTTTGATAATTAAAACCTTAAAATTTATATTAGTGAAGAATAGAAAATTGTTCTTATGTCCAATAGCTATGAAGGGGTCCACCAAGATAAAAAGAAGGGGAAAGGGGTCCATGGGTAAAAAAAGGTTGAGAACCACTGATCTAGACGGTTTTATGAAATGAAGCTGTGAGAAATAAAAATGATAAATATAATAAATAATAGGGTAGGTCTTAAAAGTTTTGGGTAATCGGAAATGTCCATTATCATATAATAATTGCGTTTCTCCCATCCGTTTACAGCTGCCATTACCTCATAAATAATGAACTCTTCCGTTTAGAATGCGTGGGAAAAGAGTGAAAGACGAATCAGAGTGACTGAAAAGAAACTCCCTATTTAATGTATGATAGACTCTCCCGTTTTGTAAAAATTAGAGTTAGATGAGAGAGTCCATTGTACATAAAATAGGGAATTTCTTTTCAATCACCTTGTATTTAGATTCAGCGTAAAAATAAAAGAAAAATGTGAAGATAGAATTGTTTCAAGTCTCCGGGCAATACTTCATAATTGAAGTGATTCCTATTCTAAGTGATAAAGAAGAGACTTGAGGCAACAGTAATTTGGCTCTACAGAAGGATGATGAGAATACAGTGGGCTGAACACGTGAGCAACTATGAAGTCTTAGAAAAAAAATGGAAGCAAAAAGGACGCTTATAAGAAAGATACAGCTGAATTTTTTCGTGCAGATAATGAGGAAAGAAGGCTTTGAAAATATGACACTGACATGACGTATTGAATGCGAAACGGACAGAAGAAAACAGTGAATAATTTACCTCATAAAATTTTGTAAATGGATTGCAGAAAAGGAAACAGGCTTACGGCGGTATGATTTTTAAACACCGGTTTCCGTATGATCACCGAAGCAACGTCGAGCCTGGTCAGTATTTAGATTGGCGACCGCTTATGAATACCAGATGTATTCTTGGATGTGCAAGTGGATATAAAGGATAAATATGTTGGAATTTTTAATCGGAGAGCCGAGTTCCAATTCTAAGGAAAGGTAAGAAACAGCCTCTTCTCCCCCATGTTAAATAGTAAGACTTGTATTGCTAAACTGTTATTAGGTCCAAAAATTTTCTTACAGTCTATATTTTATTTCTTGATTCAAATAACCGGCAAACAGCTAGCAAGTTATAGAAAGGAGATCTTATCCATCTGTTACTCAAAATATGGACAAGCATAGAAAACAAAAAGAGAGAATTTAATAAGAGCTACAAAGGAGAGGAAAGTATGAAGACCTATAACCGCCAACGTTCTGAATGGACACGGCACACGAAAGAAGTTTAGGCTGTTAGTTATTTATGGTGGTAGATATTACAGTTCTGAAAGATTTCTAAGAATTGGTTTCGGATGTTGACTATCCATCGCAAACAATAAATTTTGTTTGCAAGTGAATGTAATGAACTATAGCGGAATTCGAACTCGGCCCTCCGATTCCGCGATTCAGTCGCTATACATTATTCAATGTGCATATGCATGCATGCATGCATGCATATATATATATATATATATATATATATATATATATATATATATATATATATATATATATATATATATATATATATATATATATATATATATATATATATATATATATATATATATATATATATATTCCATATATATATATTACATACACATATATATATATTACATATGTATATATATATATATATATATATATATATATTACACGTATATATATATATTAAAACACACACAGCATATATATATATATATATATATATATATATATATGTGTGTGTGTGTGTGTGTGTGTGTGTTTATATATATATTATATATGAGAGGATTTGCTGGAAAGTCCTCAATATCAGTGACTGAGCATATACATTTGTATGGAAATGGGTTTGTGATCGCAAAATCCTGAACCCCTGTGTCACAAAGTCATATCCACATAAATGATATATATATATATATATATATATATATATATATATATATATATATATATATATATATATATATCAGCCGATTATTTCCCATGCGTCACACACCCGTAGGTGACCACGTATCTTTCAATACATGATGAAGCACATTTTTCCCGCAGTACGTTGCCATTTTCTCCTTCGGTGGACCAGTTGCCATCTATGTCTAAAGAATCAGTCCGTCCTTTTATTTAATCATAGCCGGGTGAGAGAAGAAGACTCTCCGACTTTTTTAATCCGAGCAGCTATCCATTACTCCACCGTATGTCTCTGTGTGTTGTGCGTATGTATATATATATATATATATATATATATATATATATATATATATATATATATATATATATATATATATATAAAAAATAATCCTAATGAACTGGCACAAATCTACCTAGGATCTTCAGGGTAACACTACCCAGTGTTACCCTGAAGTTCCGTTTAGGTGAATCCTGGGTAGGTTTGCCTGGCTCATTAGGATTATCTTAGGTTTTGCTCTACTTAGTGTATTGAGCATTTTACTTAGTTGTCTTTTATTTTTTTATTTTTTTTGGTGGTGAGGACTTGGACCTTGAACACTGGACGATGTGCTTGCGATGGAGTTATTGATGAGAAACATTACTCCACCATACTTGAAGGCAGAAAAATATGACTTAACTTCGGTAAACTTGTGGCACGAAAAATAATATCTTTTTATTTAACTTTCAGAAAGGTTTTCATTCTATCCAGACGGGCTTTTCATGATTCATTGTCATTCCTCCATTCGTTGAGTTTTTCCAATCATTTCTATTATTCCTTGAAAGCATCAATTACATGGAATTTTTAAAATCCTGGTATTATCACAGCTTTCCATCTCAGTTACAAAGTAACTGAATATTTCATTGACGCTGCAGACTTCAATGCATTATTCAGCGTGTCCATAAAGTTCGTGTGCACTTTAAAAAATTGTAAATTTATTTTGTATTTGCGATATAGATAAACTGTAAAAAATGTTATAAAGTTTAATGTCCCTAGTTTTAGGTATAGTTAAAATAACTAATGTGATTTCAGGCATTACTGTAAATCAGTTGGCAATTTTTTCCCGTGAACTGCAAAATCGTATAAACTTTTGTATTGCTACAAAATGGACGATATGTGGAGACTTAAATAAAATTTCAATAAAACCTTAAAAAATATAGATTTACTTCTTTCTAATCCTTTTTACAAATTATTTCTATCGCAAATACAAATAAAGTTATAATTTTTTTAAAGTGCACACCCTGTATATTTCGTTTTTCGTTTTCAGTATTGTTTTCCGAATTTTTGGATGTATATATTCGCAACACTTTTGTTAGCAGATGTCCTATCATTTTCAGAAAAAAATTGATATATTTAATTTATCAGCAAACTCTTAAAAAAATTAAATCCTTCTCTTATTTCCCTCATAAACGGCGAGAAACGTACCTGATGAATTCTTGGGAAGGAGTACCAGATCAGGGAGACTTGATGGTACATCTGCAAAGAATACAATGACAAACTAGACCAAAACCATAGCTTCTATTTTGGCTTTATTGCAAGAACCTAACCATTACTGAGAAATAATTTACTAGCTCACACTGGAGGCCGACAATCTATCTTCTGTCTTGCCTGTAACGCAGAATCCTAAACATTGTAAAGAAATAAATAACTCGTTTACACACGAGGCTAAAAATCTAGCTTCTATCTTGGCCCTAACGCAGAACCCTAAACTTTACTGAGAAATAGTTAACATTTAACGAATCCAATAACTGTTGTACCATTTTCTTTCTGATTTTGAGTAAACATTCTAGACAGATCATTAAAATTTTTGTATGGAAATATTTTCGTATATCCATTTTTTTCTTTGTTTTGTGAGCAAATCGGAAATTTTGCAGCAGACTTTTGTAAACACATTGTAAATTACCAATTCTACCTCAGCGATAATGTTTTTTATGTGTTTTACTGCTGCCTTTCTTCACACTTTTTTACTGGCTATATAGTAGAAATATGTTTTGTCTTTTATGTTATTTTTTAGTAACTTCCGTTTACGACGGCCAACGATTTGAAGTCTTCTCTTATGTTTCTATGTTTTTAAACATATCTGCTTTAGACTCGTAGACGATCAATCACTTTGAAGATATCAATCATTCCAGAGCCTCTATTCAACTTTCCTCTTTTCTAGAATTAAACAGCAACAATAAAAAAAGACACCAAATAAAAATACGGGTACGTCTTTGCTTGTTTCTTAAATGTTGGCGCCCCAAGTATTTATACTCTCCACTCTTTCGACGCCATTGCTGTTTTTTGTTGACGGAGGAGATAAAAATGGATCCCCTTTGAAATATATTGCTAGTGAGAAATGGAAAGTGTTTTTTTCGCACGGATCAAAGAATAGCAATTTTTTTTTCATTCATTTGTATTTGCGTTGTTTATTTTCTCCACTTTTTGTATGTTCATTTATCTGTAACACATTTCCGTTTCGTCCTCTTTCTTTTTTAATTTCGTCTCTTTTCTTTTTGAACTTTTTTTTTCATTTATGTTTGTACTCTTTACCAATCTTAGTTGATCTCTTAGATTTTTCCTTCTTTTTCACATTTTCGTTTTTTCTCTCTTTCTTTTTTATCATTTGTTACTTTTCACCAAACTTTCTTCCTTATTTTTCATTCATTTATTCGTCTAAGTATTTGGTTAATTCTCCTTCTTTTCATCGTATTTTTTCCTTTTCTTTTCTACGTTTCTTTTCTTCCAATGCTTCTTTTACAATTTCCTCGTTTCTTTTCTTCTTAAATTAATTTAAAAAGGTTAATTATTCGTGTCGCCGTTTCTTTTTCTTCATGTATTATTCCCAACTCTGTTCTACATACATTTCGACATTCTTTCTCTTTCAGCTTGAGCTTGAAGTTCCCTATTTATTTACTTTCTTTTTTTATATTTATGTCTGTCTATATCTCTGAGATGAGGTATTATGTTCATTTGCATTATTTACATTATTCAGACTCGTATCTTCTTCTTCATTGACATATTCACAACGTTTCGGCCGTTGTATGACCCGGTCTTCAGGAGTTTCAAACCCTTTATTTCGTTCATCAGGGAGGATTGTTCTAGTTCCACGTGTCATGCCTCTTCCGGGTGCCTCAGTTATTTACCTTTAACTCAGCTCTACAGGTTTTGTTTCACCACTGCTGTAGCCTTGTATTGAAATCACTACTCTTTGGGTCTAGTCACTATATCTAACCAACTTCTTTATCCTTTGTTTTTGATGACATCTGTGTATCAATTTTTTGGTGGCGCTTACAGATCTAATATCTCTGCAACATTTTTTTCACCAGTGCTCATGGGGCATTTTTTTTTTCTGTTATCAATATTATTTTTTACCAGAGTTTATATTGCAATTTTTGTTGTTATCCATTGCTTTTCTATGGGACACTTTATTACTGGTTCCGATATTGTATTCATTTCTATGCTTGTTTGGCTCAGGAGACATTTTTTTTTTATTTCTTTCTCTTTCATTTTGATCTTTATTTTACCTTATTTTATTTTACTTTCTTTTTTCCTCACTTCCTTTCTTTCATTCTTCATCACTTTATTTTTTCTTCATCATTAATCTTTCTTTTCTTTCTTCCTTTCTTTCTTCATCACTTTACTTTCTTTTCTTCCTTTTTTCTTTCTTTCTTCATCAGTTAGCTTTCTTTTCTTTCTTTCTTTTTCTTCACTTAACTGTCTTTTCTTTTTTTCTTTCTTTATTCACCACTTTACTTTCTTTTCTTTCTTTCTTCATCGCTTTAATTTTCTTTCTTTCTTCATCACTTTCTTTCTTTCTTTCCTCATCATTTTACTTTCTTTTCTTTCTTTCTTTTCTTTCTTTCTTTCTTTATCACTTTCTTTTCTTTCATTCTTCATCACTTTACTTTTTTCTTTCTTTCATTCTTTTCTTTCTTTCTTCATCACTTAACGTTCTTTTCTTTCTTTCTTTATTTCTTTCTTTCTTCCTCGCTTTACTTTTCTTTTTTTCTTCATCAGTTAACTTTCTTTTCTTTCTTTCTTTTCTTTCTTTCTTCATCACCTTCTTTCTTTCTTTCTTCTTCACTTAACTTTCTTTACTTTATTTTCTTTCTTTCTTTCTTTATTCACCACTTTACTTTCTTTTCTTTCTTTCTTCATCGCATTCTTTCTTTCTTTCCTCATCACTTTACTTTCTTTTCTTTCTTTTTTTCTTTCTTTTTTTATTCATCACTTTACTTTCTTTTTTTCTTTCTTTCTTTCTTCATCACTTTACTTTCTTTTTTTCTTTCTTTCTTTCGTCATCACTTTACTTTCTTTCTTACTTCATCGCTTTACTTTTCTTTCTTTCTTCATCAGTTAACTTTCTTTTCTTTCTTTCTTTTCTTTCTTTCTTCATCACTTTCTTTCTTTCTTTCTTTCTTCTTCACTTAACTTGCTTTCCTTTCTTTTCTTTCTTTCTTCATCACTTTACTTTCTTTTCTTTCTTTCTTTTCTTTCTTTCTTTCTTTCTTCATCACTTAACTTTCTTTTCTTTCTTTCTTTCTTCATCACTTTAATTTCTTTTCTTTCTTTCTTTCTTCATCACTTTACTTTCTTTTCTTTCTTTCTTCATCACTTTCTTTCTTTCTTCATCACTTTACTTTCTTTTCTTGCTTTCTTCATCACTTTCTTTCTTTCTTTCTTCATCACTTAACTTTCTTTTCTTTCTTTCTTTCTTCATCACTTTAATTTCTTTTCTTTCTTTCTTTCTTCATCACTTAACTTTCTTTTCTTTCTTTCTTCATCACTTTCTTTCTTTCTTTCTTCATCACTTAACTTTCTTTTCTTTCTTTCTTCATCACTTTCTTTCTTTCTTTCTTCATCACTTTACTTTCTTTTCTTTCTTTCTTTCTTTATCACTTTCTTTCTTTCTTTCTTCATCACTTAACTTTCTTTTCTTTCTTTCTTTCTTCATCACTTTAATTTCTTTTCTTTCTTTCTTTCTTCATCACTTAACTTTCTTTTCTTTCTTTCTTCATCACTTTCTTTCTTTTCTTTATTCATCACTTTTACTTTCTTTTCTTTTCTTTCTTCATCACTTTCTTTCTTTCTTTCTTCATCACTTTACTTTCTTTTCTTTCTTTCTTCATCCTTTCTTTCTTTCTTTCTTCATCCTTAACTTTCTTTTCTTTCTTTCTTCATCACTTTCTTTCTTTCTTTCTTCATCCTTAACTTTCTTTTTCTTTCTTTCTTCATCACTTTCTTTCTTTCTTTCTTCATCACTTTACTTTCTTTTCTTTCTTTCTTTCTTCATCACTTTAATTTCTTTTCTTTCTTTCTTTCTTCATCACTTAACTTTCTTTTCTTTCTTTCTTCATCACTTTCTTTCTTTCTTTCTTCATCACTTTACTTTCTTTTCTTTCTTTCTTCATCACGTTCTTTCTTTCTTTCTTCATCACTTTACTTTCTTTTCTTTCTTTCTTCATCACTTTCTTTCTTTCTTTCTTTCTTCATCACTTTACTTTCTTTTCTTTCTTTCTTCATCACTTTCTTTCTTTCTTCCTTCATCACTTAACTTTCTTTTCTTTCTTTCTTCATCACTTTCTTTCTTTCTTACTTCATCACTTTACTTTCTTTTCTTTCTTTCTTCATCACTTTCTTTCTTTCTTTCTTCATCACTTTACTTTCTTTTCTTTCTTTCTTCATCACTTTCTTTCTTTCTTTCTTCATCACTTTACTTTCTTTTCTTTCTTTCTTCATCACTTTCTTTCTTTCTTTCTTCATCACTTAACTTTCTTTTCTTTCTTTCTTCATCACTTTCTTTCTTTCTTTCTTCATCACTTAATTTCCTTTTCTTTCTTTCTTCATCACTTTCTTTCTTTCTTTCTTTCTTTCTTTCTTCATCACTTAACTTTCTTTTCTTTCTTTCTTCATCACTTTCTTTCTTTCTTTCTTCATCACTTTACTTTCTTTTCTTTCTTTCTTCATCACTTTCTTTCTTTCTTTCTTCATCACTTTACTTTCTTTTCTTGCTTTCTTCATCACTTTCTTTCTTTCTTTCTTCATCACTTAACTTTCTTTTCTATCTTTCTTTCTTCATCACTTTAATTTCTTTTCTTTCTTTCTTTCTTCATCACTTTACTTTCTTTTCTTTCTTTCTTCATCACTTTCTTTCTTTCTTCTTCACTTTACTTTCTTTTCTTTCTTTCTTCATCACTTTCTTTCTTTCTTTCTTCATCACTTTACTTTCTTTTCTTTCTTTCTTTCTTCATCACTTTAATTTCTTTTCTTTCTTTCTTTCTTCATCACTTAACTTTCTTTTCTTTCTTTCTTCATCACTTTCTTTCTTTCTTTCTTCATCACTTTACTTTCTTTTCTTTCTTTCTTCATCACTTTCTTTTTTTCTTTCTTCATCACTTTACTTTCTTTTCTTTCTTTCTTCATCACATTCTTTCTTTCTTTCTTCATCACTTTACTTTCTTTTCTTTCTTTCTTTCTTTCTTCATCACTTTAATTTCATTTCTTTCTTTCTTTCTTCATCACTTTACTTTCTTTTCTTTCTTTCTTCATCACTTTCTTTCTTTCTTTCTTCATCACTTTACTTTCTTTTCTTTCTTTCTTCATCACTTTCTTTCTTTCTTTCTTCATCACTTTACTTTATTTTCTTTCTTTCTTTCTTCATCACTTTAATTTCTTTCTTTCTTCATCACTTTACTTTCTTTTCTTTCTTTCTTCATCACTTTCTTTCTTTCTTTCTTCATCACTTTACTTTATTTTCTTTCTTTCTTTCTTCATCACTTTAATTTCTTTTCTTTCTTTCTTTCTTCATCACTTTACTTTCTTTTCTTTCTTCATCACTTTACTTTCTTTTCTTTCTTTCTTCATCACTTTCTTTCTTTCTTTCTTCGTCACTTTACTTTCTTTTCTTTCTTTCTTCATCACTTTCTTTCTTTCTTTCTTCATCACTTTACTTTCTTTCTTCATCACTTTACTTTCTTTTCTTTCTTTCTTCATCACTTTCTTTCTTTCCTTCTTCATCACTTTACTTTCTTTTCTTTCTTTCTTTTTTCATCACTTTAATTTCTTTTCTTTCTTTCTTTCTTCATCACTTAACTTCCTTTTCTTTCTTTCTTCATCACTTTCTTTCTTTCTTTCTTCATCACTTAACTTTCTTTTCTTTCTTTCTTCATCACTTTCTTTCTTTCTTTCTTCATCACTTTACTTTCTTTTCTTTCTTTCTTTCTTCATCACTTTAATTTCTTTTCTTTCTTTCTTTCTTCATCACTTTAATTTCTTTTCTTTCTTTCCTTTCCTTCTTTCTTTCTTTTCTTTCTTTCTTCATCACTTTACTTTCTTTTCTTTCTTTCTTTACTTTCTTTCTTCATGACATTACTTTTTTCTTTCTTTCTTTTCTTTCTTCATCACTTTACTTTCTTTTCTTTTCTTTCTTTCTTCATCACTTTATTTTCTCTTATTTCTTTCTTTCTTTATCACTTTACTTTCTTCTCTTTCTTTCTTTTCTCTTTCTTTCTTCTTCACTTAACTTCCTTTTCTTTCTTTTTTCATCACTTTACTTTCTCTTCTTTTCTTTCTGTCTTCTCCCCTTTACTTTCTTTTCTTTCTTTCTTCATCACTTTACTTTCTTTCTTTTTTACTCAAGAGTTTTCCTTTTTTGCTTTAGACACATTCATTTTGTTTCCTGTTTCATCTAGACATTCGCTTTTCTTTCTTTTATGTTCCTTTCTTTCTTTTTTTCTTTCTCTCTTTCTGTCGACATCACTTTAATATCTTGATACTTCATCAAGAGTTTTATTAAACTTCCCTTTCATCTTTATACTTATTTATTTTTTATTTCTTCATCTAGACCATCGTTTTTTTTCTTTTCATTGCGTCTTTCATTCCGTCTTTCTTTTTCTTTTTTCTTTCTTTTTGTATCACTTTACTTTCTGTTTTCTTCTTCAAAAGTTTTTATATTACTTTTATCTTTATACTCATTCCTTTTATTTCCTTGTTCATCTTGACATCCGCTTTTCTTTTCTTTTTTTCTTTTTCTCTTTTTTTCTTTCCTTCTCATTAAAATCCTTGGTAATCATTAGCTTCCTTTGTTTCCTCTTTCATTCTACCATATTTTTCTGTTTTCATTTTAGAAACATTTGATACAAAATAGTTGCCTCGTTTTCGTTCTTCTCGTCTGACTCAATTACACTTTTTCTTTCTCTTTTATCGTTATTGTGTCGTCTCGTTCTCTACATTAGTCACCGGTCTGAGTTAAAAGTAATTTAATGTAAGATCAATTCATTTAGATAAATAACATTGTTCGTCTTACAGACTTTAAATGACTCGTCAAAATGGATGAAACGTTTTAGGCAACCGTTTATATTTTTAATGAGTGGTAAAAAAAAAAAAAACGAATCGGTTTCTGTCGTTATAAAGATGGAAACAAATGTAAGCGATAAGGTCATACAGTCCATTACTATTGAATATTTGAACATTTTCTGTTACATTAAATTTCGTTGAATATCAGCGTCTACTATTGATGAATTACTTGAAGATACACTTTTGGCTCAGTCTGAAACATCAGATGCCGAAACAATATCGCTCATCTCTGAGGATTAAATGACCCACTAGGGGTGACATAGGTTGCCCGGGTATAGCGGCATCCCCTAACTCCAATGAATTTGATATTAAATTGAAAGCAAAATTAATATGACCAGAGTGATATTTTAGGAATTTCTCTGGGTATGACGATAAACTACATCCGCGTCCTGGGTAAGACGATAAATTACATTCAACAGCAAGGCCTCTGATCAGGAGTCTTTGAGGAGCGTGGAACCACCTCTTAAGTGCTGATGTCCCCAGATCCACTCTTACTCGGGGTGGTAGCACCTGTTAGGGTCCCGGCTATGGGCAAATACTTAAGCCCCAAACCCGTCCCTGTTCTTTTAAGACACTAAATTACATCAAGCGTCCTGAGTAAGACGACAAACTAAGTCCGACATCAAGGCCTCTGAAAAGGATGTTCTTAGGGGCATGGAACAACCTCTTAATTGCTGGTGCTCCCAGGTCCACCCTGACGTACAGTGGTAGCACCTGCCAGAGTCTCAAATATGGGTCAATAGTTACCCCCCCAACTGGGGTCAAAACACTATGAAACTGTAAAAATAGTTTTTAATACCAGCAATAAATTATTACCAGCAATACATTATTACTAGCAATACATTTTTGAAGAAAAAATATTACCAGCAATACATTGTTGAAGAAAAATATTACCAGCAATAAACAGCTGATGTGCTCACGAACATAACTGAATTTGTTTGCCAAACACTTCACAATAACGGAGAAACTCGTGCCGTAACACTAGATATCTCTAAAGATTTTGATAGGGTTTGGCATGTTGGCCTCCTACGCAAACTTCAGGGATACGGCATTATAGGACGATTATTTGACTTAATACAATCATTCTTGTGAAACCGGATAATGAAGGGCGTCCTTAACGGATGCTCCTCCAGTTCCTTTCTTACGAACGCAGGTGTTCCCCAACGCTCTATCCTTGTTCCTACACTGTTCCTTATTTTCATTTACGATGTCCCCGATGTTATCAGTTCCCAAGTAGTCATCTATACAGGCGATACTACTAGTTACTCTTCCCTAAATAGCAAATCTTCTATCGCTGACAAAACTAACCTGGACTTTTGTTCCGAAAAGGACCTCCAATCTGTAGCTGACTGGGGCAAGAAATGACTGGTTAATATACACTGCGTGCCAAATTATTCTCGAGATAACTTTTTTTCTAATATTTCAAAAACTGTCTAATCAATTCACACAAAATATTCACACAATGTTGGCAACACTGACCTGCGCAATAACTGAAATGTCCTTACTGATCTGCGCAATGTAAACAAACTGGCGCCATATTTGTTATCAGCACGGTGATTTGGACGTGCCAAAATATTAGAAAGGTTTTGTAAAATTCCCAGAATTGAGCAAACAAAACGTTTATTAATGTTGCACGTGAATGTTTATGATCAAGAGAAGCTAATAAATAAGATAATCAAACAAATAATAACAGATACAAAGAAAGGTTCAGTTTTAAACAAATTAATACGGAATGTGTTTTCCCTGTTTTGAAATTACTTGAAGAAGTCGACGATCCATAGAATTTGTTAATTGTAGGATGTCATCTGCTGAAATGCCGCGAGATATGTCAAGAATTGCTTCCCACAACTCAGCGTCGCTCCTGAATTATCGTCCGTTGGCGTACAGTCTTCGCTTCATAATGCTCCAAAGGTTTTCGATTGGGTTCAAACCCGGAGAATTTGCTGGCCACTTCATTTTCGAGGTCCATCGAAGCCTAACTGTTTCAAATATTCAGTAGTCTTGTGAGCAGCATGTGAGGGAGCATTATCTTGCATAAAAACAATGGCCCTTCTGAAGGCAACTCTTTGCCTTCTCATCCACTGTTCAAGCTGCTCCTTCATAAACGCTATGTATGCATCAGCAGTCATTTTGACGCCATCTGGTACTTTCCATGGGCCCACTAATGTATTTCCAATAATACCACCCCTGATCATTATGCCTCTACTGCCTTGTTGGCGTCAAACGCTGATTGGCGTCTCAAAAGCTGATGGCGATTCTGTCCGTTCATTACCCAGTCTTTGCACCATCTATCTGGCCCATCAAATGTTGCTCGAGTTTCGTCTGTGAACAAAACTTTAGAGAAGTCAATCTTCATATTGTCCTCGGCTCATTCCAATCGATTTTGAATGTGATTTCTCGTCAACGGAGGCTTCGATACAGGTTTGACTGTTGTTGCTATTTCCTTCAGATACCGACACTGAGTATTTTAAGACACAGCAGGATCCCCATTGTACTGAAAAGCTCTTGACTGGTAATTCCAGGGTGCTTCGTGGCCTCTCGTTTAAGTCGTGACATGAGACGACGTGAAATAACCTTTGGCTTGCCTTTATCTGCCCTTTTACGTACTTGCGTAGGGTCGGCGGTGAACCTTTTCACTGTTTGATGACACCTCCCTATCATTTTAGAAATTTCTACGGTAGATTTACCTTTTGAGACTTCTGAGGTGATAGTTTTCTTTTCAGCATCAATTAAACTGCTTTTACGGCCCACCTTTTCACTAAATTCTTAAACTTTTTCTAATAATTTGGCACGGTCAATTCACCGTGCCGATAACAAATATGGCGCCAGTTTGTTTACATTGGGCAGACCAGTACGAAAATTTTTAGTGATTGTGCAGGTCAGTGTTGCCAACATTTTGTGAAAATTTTCTGTGAATTGATTGGACGGTTTTTGAAATATTAGAAAAAAAATTTACCTTGATGTTAATTTGGCACGCAGTATATATATATATATATATATATATATATATATATATATATAAAGAGAAAGATAGATAAATGGATAGACGGAAATATTAGACATAGATTAAAAGTGAAATTTATTGGGTTGGTGCATAATTATCAGGCGTTTTTAAACAATATGATTATGAAAAAGAAACATAATTCAACAATAACATTTTTAAGTGATTTTTCTTGAGCGTATGATTATCTACTCGTTCTGTTATAAACTGAAAATAAAATAACAAAAAATGAAATAAAAAACATAAAAAAGGAACCAAAACCTCAAATTTCAACAAATAACTCGTCTTCAAATGCGCCTGATAATTATGCACCAACCCAATAGTAATGGCGGAAATATCCGCGGAAAATATGAGAGAGTAAAATATGAAATAATATAAAAGGAAAGACGAAATTCCAAATTAATTGTATAAAAAACATCACGTAGCTTGCAGGAATGGCGAATTTACAGGTAGATATTTTGACCCAAACTTCAAGATAAGTTCATTTCATCCACGACAATTCGATTCATTGACGGCGTTCAGCTCGATCGGCAATGTCTCAGATCAGTTATTAAAATGACATCATGTAGGTCTTCGAAAAGAATCACCTTCATATAATCTCTTAGACTGGCCCAACAGAATCATAACTTTAAAAAGCAGGTCACTTGAAGTCTTCCAACAGCTGCTTAAAGCTAAAACATTGTTATCGTATATAACTAAAAAAGAAAATAATGTCATTTGGCCCTGATCTGGCATCTCGTCTGCAGCCGCTCTCTCTAACAGACGTGCCGTTGCCTCCCTCTGTCTTTTTTACAAATACTTTCACGATAACTGTTCCGGTGAGCTGCTTTTGCTGCTTCCCAGACTTCATGAATTTAAGTGTTCAGCTAGGCTGGCATCTCGCTCTCACCTTTTCACTGTCGAAACTGTCAAATCTAGCCGTCTCTTCTACTCCCGTAGCTTCATGTCTCGCACTTCTCGCCTGTGGAACACTCTCCCCATTTTTGTTTCTTTGATAGCTATAATCTCCAACTATTCAAATATAATGTCAATCGACGTCACCATATGCCCTGATCTATCTTCTAACCTTTTTTTCATCCTCTCTATCACTCCACTTTGTTCTCTCTCCAACTCTCTGTAACACCTTGCGTGCTAGTGGCTTCCCGCCTTGCTTGGGGTTGAATGTTAAAAAAAAAAAAAGAAAAGAAAAGAGGTTGATATTTCGCATCATTTTGTAGCAAATACAAGGTGTCCATAAAGTTCATGTGCACTTTAACAAATCTATAACTTTATTTATATTTGCGATAGAAATAATTTGTAAAAAGGATTAGAAAGTAGTAAATCTATATTTTTTAAGCTTTTATTGAAATTTTATTTAAGTTTCCAAATGTCGTCCATCATTAGCAATACAAAGGGTAATACGATTTTGCAGTTGACGGAAAACATTTGCCAACTGATTTACAGTAATGTCTGAAATCACATTAGTTATTTTAGCTATACTTAAAACTAGGTACATTAAATTTTATAACTTTTTTTTACAGATTATTTCTTTCGCAAATACAAATAAAGTTATATTTTTAAAAGTGCACACGAACGTTATGGACACCCTGCATTTAGTAAGGTAGAAGCTATAAATATTAGAAAGAACGATAACAATAAGTTGGT